ATTAATATTATTAGTATTGTTAGTACTCACGAGTTTCCTTTTCTTTTCCTCCAATTCTCCTCCAGTGGAAGAGAGGGGAGATGAACAAGCAGCTGTGTGGTACCTTCTTGCTGGCTGGGTTTTAACCATGACATTCCTGACCAGTGTTTGCTTTCAATTAATTTTTTTTTTTTTAGATTTACAGAAATCCTTAAATTTCATTGAAGAAAAGCCTGCCTTTTTAAAAAATTATTATTTCTAGATAAATACAGATTTGAGTTACTGACTATTAAAAACCTATTAACAGTTAAGTGGTTAGAAGTGTTCAGTGGAGAAAATCTTCCTTTGATTTACAGTATCTAATTAATGAGGTTATCTGAGTTCTTATTGTTCTTTAAGATTACAAAAGTTACACATTTTATGGCATTTAAACTTTACATATAGATTAGTTTTCTGCAATAATACCTACCCAGCTGCAGTGCTTTCTTTCCTAAAAGAACCCTGTTGTAACCAATAAATATGTTCTGTATAAATCACAGCAAGACAGGGGCTGTAAAAGATCTGTTCATATGCTATGGTCTATAATAGGCCACCCTATATATCTACAGAAGGATAACTAATCAAATTATTTCTGGTGCAGACACAGAATATATAACACATACAGACAGTAAAGAAAACAAAGTAATTTTTTCTCATTTTCTTTTCTCATAAAACTTCCTAGATGTGTGCTTGGGCACATTTCTTTTAGGTTCATAGTCATTATACACCTTGAGTAAGACACTGGCCACTGTTCATAGACTACCCTCTCCTTCCTACATCATGTGTTGCTTTCTAGCTGAAATAATGGGCATAGTTGACAGTGCATCAAGTAGCTGTTACTTAGTATATGGCAGGTGGATAATTTCTTCTTGAATGAGCACTTGAATATTAAGGTCTCTTTCTCTTCTGATTTGAATTTTGTCTGCATCATTTTGGGATTGCCACAGGCAGATGCAGTGCTGAGGGAACTGTTAGGGCTTGCTTTATTTTTTTACAGAAGGTTTACTCTTTCTATATATTTCTATACTTCTTATGATACATCACCTTTATAGACTTTTAATTTTATACCTACTTAAACTTTTACCAGAATTTTCATATAATCTGGTTTCTGATACCATAAACTAGAAATAATAGGAACTAATATGACCTCATGCTGGTTTCATGTTAAAGTATCACAGTTTACAACCATCTTCTTTAAAATACACAAGGCATTAAATACCAATATTATACTCACATGACATAGTACAAGAAAAACCATGACAGTAATATAAATCTTTTCTCACAAATACAGTTGCTAGAAAGAAAAAGATTATTTAACTCCTTCTTAGCTAATGACACAATCTAAAAAAAATTTCTTAGAAATCTTTTGATGAAGTGTTTTCTACCTAGAAAATTCTAGCTAATCTAAAACTAAAATTGTCCTGCAAATATTTTAACTTTGGTGAAACTTTGATTTAGAGCAAAGAGAACAGATAGACCCTCGTCTCCCTCAGCCTCACTACCCTGATGAGATTTGTAGAATGTGATAAAACCAAAGCCATTGCCTTGTCCTGTTTAAACTATCAAATTGAGCTTTGATTTTCCTGTTATGTCTAGTAACACATCGCCCTTTCCCTTTGGTCAAGAGCATACTTTTTCCTGATAGAATCTAGTGTTGTACTGGGGTTTTTTTTACACCACTAGTTCTGTCTTTGTCTCTGTACAGAAACCCAGCTGGTCTAAGAGCAGGTCACTGACTTGTCAGATCCTGGACAAATGATGTTGGAGAACTGAAGAATAATGCTGTAAATGCTTAATAGATCCAACATGTCTATGTGGCTCTGATTTGATATATAGATACTGCACAGGGTTTATGGACATATATATGCAGGAAAAATTGAAAGGAATGTGGCAGCTGCTGCTTTCTGAACTTCAGAATTTTACTGTGTTGTGCTAAACATTGGGATGCTTATCCCACTAAGGAAACTGAAATTTCCCCCTCTGAATTGGCAGTGGGCTTTTTGTTTGTTTTTCTCATTATTGCTGAGCTTTGGAAGGAAATCGGAACTCTAATGTAATGGAGTTGTTTGTTTTCTAAACAGATTTAATTTTCACTCTAAATTAAAACCAAAGAGTAAAGGGTATTTTATAAGTCCATCTAAGTGCTTAATCAGCGATTCTCAAACACTTTGTAGAAGATACATAGATGAATTAACACTTTAGAAACTTAGACATGCCCAACAATTAATTAAATCAGAGTTTGAACTTTCTATACAGGGAAATTCAGCTGATTAATTTTTGATCCATTTTTCAGACATTACACCAACAGACAATTACTACTGTGAAATGAGCAATTCACAACATGAGACTTCAGTTGGTAACACTACCAGATTTAAGCTGGGCCTAATTTTTTTGATAGGTCTCCACCTATTTTTAAGACACTGGATTTTTCCCTCAGTACTAATTTCTGTTTAGTATACTCAGTTCCTTGTGTTCTGAATGCTTTGAAGTGGTGTGCTGGTTTTAGTTGGGTTAATGTTAATTTTCCTCACATTAGCTAGTATGAAGCTATAAAGAATATTGTTAACACTAATGTTTTTAGTTGTTGCTAATGAATGTTTATATCAAGCCAAGGACTCTTTCCTTTTCTAATACTGCATCTGCGTTCTCAGCTTTTTCTCTATAAGAAGGTGGGAAAAGACACAGATAGGATAGCTGACCCACACTGATCAAAGGGATATTTCATGCTGTAAAATGTCATGTTCAGTATATAGGTTGGAGCCTGGTCCAAGGGGTCTGTCTCTCTTTCTCTCTTTTAGGCTTCGTCTGGCCCTGGAGCTCTGGCTCTTGTGCTCTCAGGCTCTGGATCTCTCTACTCGGGGTCTGGCTGGGCATTGGTTAGTGGGTAGCAAGTGGTTGTATAATCTATTTTCCATTATTTTCATTAGGTATTAATAGTAGTAATATTAGTATAATTAGTATTGTTAATATTATTGGTATTATTTTATTTAATTTCATTTATTTTCAATTATTAAGTAGTTCTTATCTCAACCCATGAGTTTCCTTGTGTTTTCCTCTGATTCTCTTCCCCATCCAACTAGAGGTGGGGGAAGGTGAGCAAGTGACTATGTAGTAACTAGTTGCTGATTGAGGATAAACCACAACAAGGGGGAAAATATAATAAAACATATTTATATATGCCCATTCTTTGCTAACTATAGTTTAAAAGATTCTTGAAATATGAAGCTAGTAACTAATTCAAGTATGGAAATGTAGTTCAGTTGCTTATGTTGAGTTTTTTATGTCCAATAAGGTGTTGTGAATTTCCCTCTGAAATTAATTAAGATTATGGCACTAGCATAGGAATATTTCTACATAGGGAATTGTTGCAGTACAGAGGTAAAATTAATTATTTTCAAAGGGTAAATATCAAAATTTTAATGACACTTATTGTAGCTGCCAACTAAGAGGTGTTCTGTGGGATAATTGAGCCTGAGATTTTGCAGCTACTGGCAAGGAACCCTGCACATATTTTACTGAATTCCAACACCTATGTAAAATCTATGTTGAAAGCCAGAATTTTTTATTCTTATGCATGTTGAAAAATATCATGTTTTATACTTGTTCCCATCAACTTCCTGAGGTGTCATTTGAAAGGAAAAAAAAAAAAAAAAGGGTACTCATATGGAATAGGAAGTAAAGAAATCTAGGGAGGGGTCAGATGATTAAATCGCACAATGAAGGAACTACTCCCTTGGCTGAAGATCACTCAAAGAATAAAAATGTGGGATGAGGAGAAAAATTTCCAAGCAGAGTAAGAAAGGCTGATAGTTTAGGTTTATGGAAAGTTTTGTAATACCTTGTAACTGTATATTACTTGCTGGTTTAAAAATACATGCAGGTCAGCTAATAAATCTTTTACTTTAGAAGTCAAAGACCGACAAACTGAACAGATGATTGCATGTACTTTAACTGGCTTTGCTGCAAAAGATGTGTCCATATAAAGTGCAGGTACTCTAGCATGTACACTATACGTAAACAGAATTATTTCTTATTACTTTCTTCAAACTCTTCCCCCAACAGAATATGCACCTCCCAGTAAATTCCACACAGATTGCTATTCCAGACAGCTTAAAGAATTCAAGCCAAAGAGATTGCTTTGCTCTGTGAGTAAACATGGAGCAAGTTCATGTCAGCTACAGACAGTAGAAGTAAGATTTTCTTTTAAACAACAAAGTTAGGTCACAAGTGTATCAGTTTTGTAGTCCTAGGTGTAAAAATTTCCATGATAAGAGTGAAGGGCAACAAAGGTGTTCCACGCACACATAAACAGTCCCTTCTGATCCTTCCTTTCCCATATATCCTTAATATTTTTGTAACCACATACAGCCACTATTTTCCATGGCTAGCACCCTGTGAAGTATATCATACAGCAGACTTTCATCTGGTTTACTAGTTTTAAATGTAACATTATAGCAAACAGTGAAACAAGGGAAAAAAATTGCAACGATGTCTGCCTCTTAGGGTGCACTATGGGACCAGTAGTATCTAGGCAGAGATGTGACTTTGGTCTGCCTTCAGGGCAAAGACATATCTGGCAGAACACCCCAAAAAAGAGATGAATGTTTGAATTTCATCATAGTACTGATTGTACCCTACCACTGTTTCAAACGAATCTCACTGAGAGGCCTGCCCATAATACTGAATACTCTGGAAAGTATGAGGGCTGTAAGTTCTATTGCTTTTCAGAGCTATTTATAATTCTGCTCCTTACAGACCTATTGAATCTTATTTTAAATACAGTGCTGACACTCTTTGACCACTGAAGTCACTGAATTCCCAGTAGCAGAGTAAATTCTGAATTTTAAAATGTTTTTGCAAACCTTAAGAGAACTGGATATTCTGTTACCTTCAGGCAAGACTCTTGTATAATACTCAGTGTCAAGGAAAAAAGAAACCAAAAATTTCTGCATTGAAATAATAGCTTTCTTCAGTAGAAAGGAGGGAAATAAATGCATATTCCAAATGCAGAATTGTTTGAAACATCTGTAACTACATAGTTTTCAAAGTTTTCAATTGTCACTTATAGTAAATGCAGTTTATTGGGAGATGATGTTTTAACAAAAATGCTCCATGGTTTTTTATTTTGGAATTATATTTACCGAATTGCCCTAAGGCTTGTAGATACGTTGCTCTTTTTTCCCCTTATTTTATGCAATAGCTCACTTCAAAATATTTATGCTGTTGTGGCAAGGATGATATAAATGCATTCAGTAACTACAAAAATGTCTGAATTGCCAGGATACAATGATAAAAGAAAAAAGCTTCAGGTACACTCCTTTCATCTCCTTCTGAATGAAAAGAAAAACTAGATTGTGGATAAGATTCAGATTTCCCTAGATCATTATTCTTCCCCTTAGAATTTCACTGGACTGACTTTGGTTCTTCTTGGCTTTATCAGCAGTCCCCACTGATTTCCCCTGTAACGCCTATGACCTACACCAAATGAAGGTCTGCCCACATTTGAAGATGTATTTTTAAAACATTGCTCTTCCTTCAAAAATATCTAGTTCTATGTGGCTTAGAAATAGAAAATTTTACTATAAACTACTGGCAATTTATTTTATAAGAAAAGAAGGTTCTTATCTTCCTTATTCTGCTGAGTAGCTATCTCATTTTATGGGTGGCAGTGGAAATACTGACTCTGTTCATGACCACTGCTTTCCTGCATGTATTTGATTTTTACCTAAAACTATGTGCATGGACCACCCATCCCACACAATACTGAATATTTTATGTAAAAGTCTTCATTTTTCAGTCATGAATCATATGTATTTCAAGTTCTCTCATTAACATGTATGAAACTTTCTGAAAAATTATCTTTTCCTGCATAGGTTTCTTCATGTTATGGGATATTTTATTGCTTCACTTTAAATTTAAATAAATATATTAATAGTATAGAGCTGAGAATCATCTTTCCTAGCTAAAGAGAAATTATGTGAATAATTCACTTCTGTGCCTTTCAACATTTGCAGATATTTTATGTACAAATCCTTACCAATAATCTACAAATGCAATGATTCTCTCACTCTTGCATGTTAGGTGAGGTTTTGTGAAACCTGAGAGGTGTGTAATGATTGCAGGATTTTACTGTGGCTGATTAAGTAGGAAAAGTGCTCCCCTCACTTCTGACTCATGTAAGTTATTAGAGTTATGCTTAGCCCTGCTGAAGGAAACAGCCTGGGATTTCCATGCCAGAATTGTAGGATCATGGAATGGTTTGTGTTGGAAGGGACCTTAAAGACCATCTAGTTACAACTCCCCTGCCAAGGGCAGGGACACCTTCCACTACACCAGGTTGCTCAAAGCCTCATCCAGCCTGGCCTTGAACACATCCAGGGATGGGGCATCCACAACATCTCTGGGCAACCTGTTCCAGTGCCTCACCACCCTCTCTGTGAAGAACTTCTTCCTGATGTCCAGTCTAAACCTCCCCACTTTCAGTTTAAACCCAGTACCCCTTGTCCTGTCACTACAGGCCCTTGTAAAAAGTACCCCCTCCAGCTTCCTTGTAGGCCCCTTCAGGTACTGGAAGGCTGCAATAAGGTCTCCCCAGAGCCTTCTCTTCTCCAGGCTGAAGACGACTAGTTCTCTCAGCTTTTCTTCATAGGAGAGGTGTTCCAGCCCTCTGATCATCTTCGTGGCCTCCTCTGGACTTGTTCCAAATGGTCGATACCCTTCTTATGTTGAGGGTTCCAGATCTGGATGGAGTACTGCACATGTGGTCTCACAAGAGCAGAGCTGAGGAGGAGAATCCCCTCCCTCGACCTGCTGGCCACACTTCTCTGGATACAGCCCAGGATACGGTTGGCTTTCTGGGCTGCCAGCGCACACTGCTGGCTCATGTTCAGTTTTTCATCCACCAGTACCCCCAAGTCCTTCTCTTCAGGGCTGCTCTGATCTGGATGGAGTACTGCACATGTGGTCTCACAAGAGCAGAGCTGAGGAGGAGAATCCCCTCCCTCGACCTGCTGGCCACACTTCTCTGGATACAGCCCAGGATACGGTTGGCTTTCTGGGCTGCCAGCGCACACTGCTGGCTCATGTTCAGTTTTTCATCCACCAGTACCCCCAAGTCCTTCTCTTCAGGGCTGCTCTCGATCCATTCTCTACTCAGTCTATTACTAGTTCATGTTTTATAACCACCAGAACTGTCTCTGTTTTTCATCTACCAAGGGTTTTTTTGTGTTTTCCCATGGTTGTAGTAGGCTTTTTTAGTTGGTTGTTTTTTTGTTGTTTGTGTGTTTTGGGTTTTTTTTTCCTGGTGTGAAAACAAGGAAGGCAGAAGCAATACTCTGCATAACAACCAATGAACCAGACACTGATTTGCAAGGATTTTTGAAGGGTTGTTTTGTGTTAATGGCTATTACTAGGTTGTAATATTCATATGAGGCAAAAATTTGTCTCTTACACATCAAAAAAGAGAAAAAGGTGGAAAATTATTTTCATTTATATATATGTTTAAGATCAACCACAGGTTATGGGAAGAATAAGGAGTTTCTCTATGTAATTCTTTGCCATCGGCAAAAGGAAGATCAGGCTGTTTGCAGTCTATCAGTCTGTCAATGGCGATATTAGAAATAAGTTACTCAGTATGTGATTCTAAGGATGACTGAATTAATTAAAGGACTTCAGATCCTCAGAGGAAACAGCTGTGTGAGTACAGAGATAAAATTTGCCTGCTTCTAGACTCCTTTGTTATGTATTGTAGTAGATACAATTATGTTATGTATTGTAGTAGAGTACTGTCCCTAAAGTGACCGAATATACAGTGGAATTCAGCATCTCCTTGACCTCCAGAGTTCATAATAAGTCTTAATTTATATATGTTGAAATCTTTTGTGAACATTGAGTGTAAATTGTTCTATACTGTAAATGTAATCTATTAGTTTTGTTGTAACTTTACAGTGATAAGCCTGTACATGCTAAATTCAGTTATCACACACATCAGTACATGTTGAGTTCAGTATAGGCATTGCAATCTGAGATAAACTGTTTCTAGATAAATTATGAAGACATTTAAAAAAAAATTATAATGTTTTAAAGAAACAATTTCTTGAACAATTTCAAAAAAGATTCACTAGATTATTGAAAAAGTAGCTTTTATTATACTTGTTTAATACTGCAAGGATGATGCAGAAAAGAATGCATCAAACAGAATTCTTGGCACAGGCATCAGTCTTTTAGCCCTTTGAACTACACTAAGTTCAAAAACATTGATGGGTCTGGCGGGGAAAAAAAAAAATATCTTGAATCTGACCACGGAAACCCTGACTCTTCCTATTCGGCAGGACTTTCAGTCTGTGGACACCTTCTAGGGCCTTCTCACAATTGCAGTGGTGCAACTTTGCAGAGCAGTTGCTCAGAGCTTGGCTAAACAGGAAAACTGAAAAACAAGAAACCTAATACTGCAACCTTTTTCAAAATTAGGTCCTATCATCAGGTTTGTAAGCCCTTGTTGGAACGTTATTTATTTTGAGAAGTGCTGGGTGTGTAGCAGCAGCTCCACAGGAGAGAACAGAACATTGACCAACAGCTCAGAGTCTGCTTACTGAAAAGCCAGCCTTATCTTTCCCTGCAGCTCAGGAGAAAGAATTTTACGCATTATTTTGGATTTTCTTTATTTCCAGCCAGGATCAAGCCCTCTGATTTCCCTGCTGAAAGAAGTTTTAGTGGGGGAAACCCAAAAGTTCTCCAGCCTTCCTGTATACAACCCTGTGGGTAAAGGCTACTTTAGCTCTGTATTTTGTTTTGCCAGTCTTTGATATTGAAACTTTAGCTGTCTTTTCAAGGACTTGTTGGGATTTTGGCTATGCACTGATAAACTAAAAGGCATTCAGATACCCAGACATAAGATGCTATATCTGTATGAAGAAATATTACTATTTCAAATTTGAGTAGAACTTAATTATGAATAAAATGTTTTAACAAAGAAAAACTTTTCTCTCTGAGCAGGTGTACTGAAGAAGGCTGGTATCTCTTTGCAGACAGCTCGAATGGAGAATTTGGTCACATAGCTGAAATTGCTACTCCAGTCATCTCCCTTACGGGGCCCAAATGCAAAATTATATTCTGGAACCACATGAATGGTTCAACAATAGGTTCTCTGGAGGTATGGAGATGTTCTTTGTTTTGGGTTAATGTTTTTTACTGCCAAATTGCTGTGAGAAAATTTATGCCTTGTCATTGAGTTTCATTAAAGCCTAGGCTGCTACTGAAAATGAGCAATTACTAACAGTCCACTGCTCTCAGTATGTTATGATCTGAAGGAAGCATTAGCTCAAGTAAGCTGAGGAAAATGTAACTTAATACAATAACCAAAAATTATGACCTTTATAGTCAAATTGTGGTTGAAACTTCCATACAGGAAAACACCTACACTACACCAATTCTTTCACACTGAAAAATATCAAATATCCAGATAGCTGGACATCAGTGTCTTCGGCTTAATGTAGGAGCATGAAAATAATGAAGTAATTGTATTAAAATTTGCTGTAAAATTTTGTAGAAAAAGATTGTTCCTCAGAAAGTTTAATTCTTCACAGAAAGGGTAGTGAGGCACTGGAACAGGTTGCCCAGAGAAGCTGTGGATGCCCCATCCCTGACTGTCTTCAAGGCCAGGCTGGATGAGGCTTTGAGCAACCTGGTCTAGTGGAAGGTGTCCCTGCCCATGGCAGGGGGGTTGGAACTAGATGATCTTTAAGGTCCCTTCCAACCCAAACCATTCTATGAACACATCATTGAGGTTAATTGTATTAATGCAAGCAGCATTGAACTGTTTTAGGATATAAAACTAATAAACTTCTTTACCCATACCATTTATTTCACTCCAGTTAAAAGCAGTTCTGTAAAGGAAATGTAACTTGTTCAGCAGTTTGTAGATCAAATGAGTCAGTGAATAAATCAGCAACATTGTTATCAACAATTTTTTTGCCACACATCTGAGTAACTATAATAGAATTTCCTGTGAATGTTGCACAATAACTACAGCATCAGAAAAGGATTGAAAAAAATACTTATGATAAGTTACCTAGTCACGTGTACAGTCAGTATCACATTGGGTCTGGTCAGTGCACGTGGATTTAATTGTACAAATAAGTCTTCACTATCTCAGTTATGCTGAATAACAGATTATAATAAAGAAGCTGTCAGAATTCAATTATTTTGAAGAGGAAATTAAAATGTATGTTGACATTCGAACTGAAATCAAAGATGTGGTGTCCTTCACCCTATGCATGTAACTTGCTAGACCTTCAGAGAAAGCATGTTTTGTGTATTTTTCTTAAACAGTTTTTTAGAATATCACTGATTTTCTCCCAAGCAAATAAAAATCTTGCTAGGCTGCTTAGCAAGTCGGCACATTTTATTTCATTAGTGGGAAATCAGAGTATAAAAATGGCCTGTTCTCAGTTTTAAAACTTGGGACAGATCAATTTGCTTTGAGACTTCTTTGCCTTTACTCTGGAGTCCAGGGCATATTTACAGTGTAGGAACCCATCTTCTTTGGAATCAGGTCCACAGAATGTTTTGTAGAAATTAACAGCAAGTTCTTTGGAGTTACGCCCAGTATAATAACCAAAAAAGGCAAATGTATATCAATTTTCAACTTTTTTTTTCCCCTCCATTTCAACACAGGAGTCTACAATTTCCCTCTAATCCTTAACTGTTTTTTCCTCCTCTGTAACTTAATTGATTTTAAGATGCACCAAAGGAAAATCACAGAACCTTTGCATTTTAAACATTGCGAATAATTACCTGGTTTCAATTGCTTAATTAAGTAATCAGTAATGAATGTAGGAGTAACTCAGAATATAAAATTATTTAGGTAATTTTTCATTATTTTCTTCTAAAGGTTCCAAGTATTATTAGAATGTCAATCTTTTCTAGGCTTAAAAATCACTGAAGTCTGTTTGTCCATCTCTTTCCCAAGACTACAGCATTTTATTTAATTCATAAGTTTGGATTTTAGCATCCATGCTGTCAAATGTCATCTAGGACTTTACTGCTATTTGCATTAATGGCTGTCTTCCTGTTTCTATGACTTTCTTAAACATTGATTAGCTGTCACTTTATCATGCAACCTTGGTTTGAATATATGTTGGATCCATTTTTGTCTGGTTTCTGCCCTCTGACTTGGAATGGATAACTCTACCAAAGTATGAGATGCTTTTACAAAAACCTGCAATGTAATCAAAATGCCTAGGACTTCAAGGGGTATTAAGGTACAGGGAAGCCTTGGATTTTAATAGCACATAAATTTATGGGCATATTTAACCATAAAATTATAACCTTTGGCATGATATGATAGAAAATATGAATTTCTGATGAAGGACTTGGATTTATAGTCTAGTAGGTAATTTACAATTTATGCAAAAGCATGTGTGTATGTGTTTGTATAGTCACACACACATCTGCATTCATATAAATATACGGTTTGTATGTGAGCGTAACAAACCCCTTTTCTTATTCAGCACCCTTTATTCACAGATTCACAGAGTGGAAGGAGTTGGAAGGGACCTCTAGAGATCCTCTAGTCCAACCCCCCTTCCAGAGCAGGATCACCTAGAGTAGATCTGTAATCCCTCTTTCTCTCAGATTTGTTGTTCTTCCTGTGGTGGGTTCACCCTGTCTGGATGTCAGGTGCCCACCTATGCTGCTCTATCATTCTCTTTTTCTACTGGAAAGGGGAGAGATAATCTAACAAAAACAATTACCATTTTCAAAACAGACTCAGCTTGGGGAAAATTAATTTATTGCTAATTAAATCATGAGCAGAAGAAAACTAAAACCAAACCTTAAAACACATTCCCTCCACCCCTCTCTTTTTCCCAAGCTTAACTTTACTCCTATTTTCTCAAACTCCTCCCTCACAACGGCATAATGGGACAGGAAATGGGGGTTGTGCTCAGTCCATCACACTTTCTCGGCTGCTCCTTCCTCCTTAGTGGGAGGACTCCTCACACTCTGCCCCTGCTCCAGTGTGGAGTACCTTTCACAGAAGACAGGCCTTCACCAACTTCCCCAGTGTGAGTCCTTCCCACTGGCTACAGTTCTTCACCAACAGCTCCAGCATGGGTTCCTCCCACAGGGTATAGTCCTTCAGGAACAACCTGTTCCAGCCTGGGCTTCCCATGGAGTCGGGAGCCTTGACCACAAACCTGCTCCAGCCTGGGTTCCTCTCTCCATGGGGTCACAGGTCCTGCCAGGAGCCTGCTCCAGTGTGAACTTCCTGCCCCAGTGGGAGCCATGACCCTCCATGGCTGCAGAGGCACAGCTGGCCTCACCATGATCTGCATCACAAGCTGCAGGGCAATCTCTGCTTTGGCTCTTGGAGCACCTCCTGATGCTCCTTCCCTGACCTTGGTTTCTGCAGAGTTGTCTCATTTCTCATTCTTTTCCTCTGCTGCAATTCCTCTTCTCAGTTTTTTTCCCCTTTCTCAAATCTTTGATCCCACAGGTGCTACCACTGTTGCTGATGGGCTCAGACTTGGCCAGCAGCACGTTCTTCTTTGCATCAGCTGGCATTGGCTCTGTTGGATGTAGGAGAAGCTTCCAGCAACTTCTCACAGAAGCCACAGCTGTAGTCCCCCTCTACCAAAACCTTGCCATGCAAAACCCAATAAATTTCCCTTAAAATTAATGTCTCCTGCAGGCAGTTCTTGTTGTCTGTAAAGACATGTTGCTCTCTTTTTCTGTTCAATTTAATATATTCCTCCTATTTCTATTGTTCACCTGGAACAAAAGCTCTTCAGTGTGAGGACCTGCTGTTTTGCTTGGCAGAAGTTACCTCTTATGCAGTATCAGATACACCCATGAGACTGCATAAATTAAAAAAACAAACAAACAAAAAACTAACCAAACAAGCAAACAAAAAAAACCCCAGCCCAGATGTTTTTTCATTAAGATGAAAAATTCCTGGGCTGCCTTAAGAAGATTACACCAAATAGCAATACATCCTTGAAAGCAGAAGTGGTCCAGGCAACTGGTGAACTGATGTTTAGTTCTGTGAGTGCTGGCTGGAGACACAGCTTGACACACTTCATCAAACAGCCATCTTCTTGTTATTGTCAGCTAAGTTAAATTTGGGTGCCCAAGAGGTTGGAATAAAATATATTTAGGACTGTGTGCTCATGTCAAAACGTGTCAGCTTTTCCCAATTCAGTGACTGTTCATAGAGGTAAAGGGAATTTATGACTTTTCCATTGCCCAAACAAATGAAATTTGGTCTGTAGAAGAAAAGAACAAGTTTTTATTTGTGGAAGAACAAAACATAAGAATCAGGATAAGAAAATCTGTGCAAGAATGGAGCAATCTAATGGATGCATGAATATATTTTTCAGTAGCTCCTGTCATTAATGTGATTTCCATGTTTTGCAAATAGATCCCAGCCACTTAATGAGTAATTTTCATTTGTGGCTAGCCACTACAGATAAATTAATGGAAAAGTTAGTCCAGGTAAGAGTCTGGACTGAATATGTTTATGAGGAGATCAGAAAATATTAAAGCATTATTTACTTAGAATAGTTGTTTACACTGGCAAGTCCCTTTGTGTCAGATAGGTCATTAGGAAAAGTTTTTTCTCTGAGATGGTGATCAGTGACTGGAATAGACTCCCCAGGTCATGGCAAAACCCTGTCAGAGTTCAAGGGACATCTGGATGATGCTCTTAGTCATCTGGTTTAGTTTTAGGTAGCCCTGCCAGGAGCAGGGAGTTGGACTTGATCATCTTTATGGGTCCCTTGCAACTCCAGAATTCTATGATATTTAATGGTGGTATAGAGGTAAGTTGTATGCTTTTATACAATTAAGCAACCTAAACTACCGTAAGTTGGTAACAGAAGAATTTTTTTGTGACCTGGAATTATTTCATTTTTAGGTACTCTGTAAAACCAGTAAGAAGACTTCTAAACTGTGGACTCAAAGTGGCAGCCATGGTCCCCAGTGGAACAGAGCAGAAGTGTTCTTAGGAATTCGTACAAATTTTCAGGTATGTATTCCCATATTATGTGCTCTCTAGACAACGGGCTTCAGGTACTTTTATATTATTTACTGTATAACAGAAGTCATGGTTTTGGCTGTCTGAATGATTATCTGAGCTGGAAGCAAGGTTTTAGAAATTTCCCACTTCAGTCTCAGACTGATATCCATTTTTAAGATGAAGAATTCCTTCTGTCCTTGAATCCAGCTCAGGTTAAACTATTCTAGCTCCTTCTCCTTAGTGTGTAGTAGTATTACATCTGGTTTATGAAAAAAGCATCTTGAGCATGACATTCGCTTTGAAATATGAGCTGATTCCTAAGCCTCTTAGAGATACTTAGTCATGGGTATGCCATGCTTAGTTGTATCTTTACAAAAAACAGAGACAGCCAGGAACATATTTTCAAATGTTTTACCTTCCCTGTGTTGGATGGCTCTTAACGAAACTTTAACATTCTGTTTACATAAATGGAAATAACTGATGAATGACTTGGACTAGTCTTTTTCACACTTACTTTGCAGAAGTAGGTGGAACCCTTGCTATTCATTCAGAAGAAGTGGGGAAACTAGTATCAATTTGTGGTGTTCATTTTGCTTCCTTTTTTTTTTTTTTTTTAATACGTGGTTGATGTTGGAAGATGGTCCTTCAATAACTACAGTGACAGATCTGTACAAGCAGTAGTACAAGCTTCATAGGACTGTGTTACGACAATAAGAACCGACCACTTCATATTCCAAGATTTGCAAGGACTGTCATAGTGTCTGTTCTATTCATGGTGCATATATAAGCTTTTATGTATCTTAACAGTGTCTTACTGTAATAAATCTATGATTTTTATTAGGTTGTTTTCAGGGCAAAACGTGGTGTCAGTTACATGGGAGACGTGGCAGTGGATGATATTACCTTTGAAGATTGTTCCCCTCTGCTCATCCCAGGCAGACCTTGCACATCAGAAGAATTCACATGTGCCAACAAGTACTGCATCCCAAAAGATAATCTGTGTGATTTTGTAAACGACTGCACAGATAACTCGGATGAGAACCTGACTATTTGCAGTAAGTATGGTAGTTTTTAAAATATAATTATAATAAATAACTATGCCTGCTGTGAATTTTTATTACTTGAATACTTTTGGCAGCTGATCTACTAAGAAAGAAAACAAGAAGACAATTAAATTCTATTCCTTGGCTTTTAAGGATTTTAAATTACTACTATTTAATTTGAAATCATATTATAGAAAATAGAAAGAGCTGTTAGTGAAATTCTTAAAATAACTCAGAAAGCAACTGTCTTTAAAAGCAGAATAAAAATCTCCTGCTTTCCATATGAAAAGAATGTATTAAGGCTGAAAAAATACTTCAAACGTAATACCTCTGGGATATGAGTGACCTATGTCCTTTGATATTTCAAGGATTGTCGCGACACTTAGCAAATAATTTTATTTGAATACTGTACAATTTTGGTTTTACAAGAGATATCAAGAAACAGCATCTGTAGTGTTGGATTCAAAGAATGATGTTCCACATCAAATGGGTTCTCCTCTGGAGAAATGAATCACGATGTACAGTACTAACACTCTTTTTTCTAGTACAATGCTCACGCAATCAAATCTGCATTGTTTGGTACCATATGAGCAGTTGCTTAATTTTTATTGAGATTATGAATACAGTTTATCAAATTTTCAGTGAATATAATTCTATGAAGCAAAGGTACAAGGATATCCCTTGGACATAAGGCACGTGGCAGAGGGACAGTGTTTTGCAAATTATTTTCATACTAGTAAGCTTCTCAGTGATTTCTCAGCCAGGAATAGCATGTCGCTAAACCATATGAGGAACAGTTCAGAACTTTTGCAATTAAAAGTGAGAAGTATATCAAGTTGGAATTACTCTTGAAAAAGATTCTTATATTTTGTCTCTTATTTTCTGAAATATTGAAAAGCTGTTTACCTGTGACTTTTTGAGTTTTCTGGATTGTCTGTATTTACCATGAAACACTATCAGCCAAGTAAAGACTGAAGCGTTAGGGGCAAGATGGTTCAAACAGGCTGATGGGATTTAGTTTTACATTTAGAATTCTCCACTGGAAAAGATATGAACTGCAAGAGTCCTCCAAAAAAAAAAAAAAAAGACTTTCCTATAAAGTGCTTTTTTTACTTATTATTTATAAGTTTAAAAAAAAGTACAAAAATTATTTAAAAAAACAATTACGATTTTGCTGACTGCATTTTGACAGGAAGCTTTATAATGAAGTATCATGGAGCCTTAAGAGCACAGGATTCATTACTGGGGTAAAACCTTTATGTGAACATGGATTTTGCCTCAGATAAAAAATTAATACCATTTGAAAATATCTAATTGTGCTCTAAAATGCTTGGTGACCAAATATGACTTTATTAGGTCTCGGGGTGCTTTATTGCGTATCATTTTCAATAACAGTCTCAGGAATTAGACTAATTTTTTAATTTTCTTTTTCTTTTTTCAGTTTTGAAATACATATCCTGCTTTAGATTTCTGCTATGTGCTGGAGAATTTGAGTTTTTGTATACTGGTGTTGCCTCTGCCTTATATATTTAATAATGTACAAATAAATAATATAGAACTTGTTGAAGATATACTTAACAGAAAAATGCTAGTTCTGTTTTCACAGCTTTTTCATGAGGCAGGCTGCCTCAAAAGAGAACATAATGATAGGAAACACATATTTCCACTCTTTGGCAAGTTTTTATTTCATTCCTTGCAGCCATTAGAGAAGAGTTATTTCCTCAC